TCGTGCAAAGTGGCCCCCCACTTATAGATAGATGAAACAACTTGTTAGATGAAAAACTTGTTAGATGAAACATAGCTGCCCGCAGTTAACAGGAGGGGGAAGCGGCTAGCGGCGACTATCTGAGCTGGTTCGGTTACCATTTGAACTTGGCTTGTGCTTGGCAGCGATGCGCTTTACATTAGAAAAATCGGAGATTTCGCGATTTGTCCACCACCGCTTGTTGGCTCTTCGATAGCCAATAGATTACAATATTGCGACGATTTCCGGTTTATTTATTGGCCAATTTCACAGCAGGCATGAAAGTTTTTTTCAGTCTCAGGGGTCCAGTTTGAAGCTCCGTGCATTCTACAACGACAGTGCTATAGTGGCTGGTGGTACGCCTACTGAGCCTGCGCCGTGGGGGGTTAAATTTTCAATATTGTCTCCGACCAGGTTAGAGCCTGCTACGGGCTCAGGAAGCTGGGTTCTCGAGGCACTCGACCGCGTGACGCAATTAATTGTGAACCGGTCCTTGGAAGGTACACTACAGGCTCATGTAGCGTAGGGAATCCAGGGGGCTACTAATCACTTGCCTTTGATTCTTTTTTCCTGAAGCGTTTGGAAAGACGCTTCTGTGAGGAATGACAGCTGTGGGCCCGGCTCCGCCCATCAATAGTTGGGAGCGTAATTTTTTTTTCAATCCATTAGAGATCTTTTTACAGAGTAGTCCTTCAGACAGCCTTACAGCATGACTAAGCCTTGTGACCGTCGCGCTACAGAGTTCGCTCGCAACGTGAGAGATCATGTGCCAGCAGAGCCGTTGAGGTCATTCGCCCGGTGTGCTATTCTACCCCTACTGAATGTACTTTACGTTTCTATAAACACACTGTTCGGCCTGGTGGGTGCATCAACTGGTACTTAGTTACAAGTTCCAAAACCACTTCGCAAGAATGTTTGACTACGTAGCTGAGGCGGCTCACATCACTTTGCCACTTCACAGGATATTACAAGTCCAAAGTGTAATCTGTTGATTCGCATGAACTTGTAGGAGAATCTAGGGAATGTGCAAAGTGCCCCTACCAAGCCGCACAGTGCTAAAGTGCAACAAAATATAAAAGAGACTGTATTCATTACCTAGCTTGAATCTCGCTCTATGATTTTTGAATGATCTGTATTAACAATCCCATCGGTAATCACACCATACTTTACTGGAGGCTACTTTAGGACATTACGGCTCCAAAATGTTGCCACTATTTCTGCCCTTCCGCAACAAAGGGATAAATTATGGCGATTTAAAATATGTGAAAAGTCCTTCTGCCACTTACAACCACGGTATTCAAATATATCGCTCTCGATAGAAAGCAATTTTTTTCAGTTTAAAATATCAGTGTGTTTACATTGGGCCAATTTCTGATGGAATGTGCCGTTCCCTTCCAACAGTACGTCTCATGGTATGGTTCCTGCGTCTTCGTCTGCCTTCTCTGTTTACAAAATCTGTACTGGAAATTGGATTCTTCGACAGTGTCTGTCGACGACCTTTCATGTCAGGTCGTTACAAAGCGACATCGAGTCGACAGCGATTTATGAGCGAGTTTCTACGTTGCAAAAGAAATCTCAAAGTGAACACCTCATTGATTCGGGCCGGACACGGAAATTTTTAGCGGGCAGACAAAGATACGTGTGGGGTGCGGGTTTAGGGTTTCCACCACCAATTTCATTGAAATATGCAGGGTTCGAGTGGCAGTCCTGAGGAAACGGGGTTTTGAAGGCTGCGAGCACCAGCACGGAGATTGCATAAGGAGGGGAGGCTAGATACCACATGAAGTTCAAGCCCAAGTCCAGGCCGGTGATGTGAGCTGACACAGAGAATCAAGCCCGAGGACGAGCCCAATCCGGATGGAGTAGAAGCCTGTACCTAAGCCGAAATTAGCAAATTTTCAAAATCCCATGAATGCTTTCCTCATTTGATACTTCGGGGAACGACGGGAATTGGGTACCCAACTCTTTTTTGATACCGCCAGCTCTGTCTTACTTTGTCTTCATAGCACTGGAAGAAGTTGAAATTGGTCCTTCAAAGCGATTCCTCTCCACCATTGCCTCGACCACAGATCCCCTCAACCCAGAAATCCAAGCTCGTCCACTTCTTTTGCTCCCTATTACCTACAGTCTCAAGGGCAAACTTGTTCACCGGGTGGAAAGATGAGGGGGAGAGCGGGGGGGGGGTAAGGGCATCCACTGCATCAGAGAAGATTCTTAGGTTATTATGTGTCCTGTCACAAGCGCTCACATAAATGATGCTCCCTCCACAAGCTTTTAATAGTTAGAAGTTCTTAGGGCACCTCCAAGCGGATAAAACAGATTGCAATGAGTTGGCTTGACGGTAGCCACCATACTGTGATGGTGCCATACTTATCTAACGAGGGCATCCACTGTTCCGAGGTCCCGTCAACTTGTCTCCAACTTATTTGTATTGTTACATATGCACTGACAAGGGAGGTCTTTCAGGTCGTGGCGCGCTTTTTGGAAATGGTTTGTTGCTTGTTGTAGGGGTCCATACAAGAAGGATCACAAAAATGGGTTTCATTTTTGCTATGCGTTTCTGGGTAGGTCAAAACTGAGTGAAAAGAATTTGACGAGAAATCGCGATTTTAACCGTGTTAATGGGCTCTGTTGTAGCTGTAACTTTGACAGCGCATAATTCATGAGGTGTCCCTTCACTATGTATTGAAAAGATAGCAAAGTAAAGCCAATAAGAAAGTGGACGGAGGGGAGTAATACCGAAGTTACTTGAACAATTCTCGCAACCGCTGTTTCGTGGTCGGCAGATGGCGGAGTGGATAGTGCGGTGGGCTCTCGCGAAGAAGGTTCTTGGATCGGATCCCATTTGGCGACTAAGTACCTTTGCATTTTCGGTAATACTTTATACGTTTTTCGGTTTTGGATTTACGACACCCATTTTTGACCACAGCGCAGCCTAGCGCCGACTTGCTGCAAGAGCGTTCTTCCACTGAATTGTTGCCAACCCGCACGCAGGGGCTGTTAAGCGCTCATCTCGAGGTGAAAATTTTTGCTGAAAGTCTGTATATAGAGGTTATCAATGGCCCTGATGACGATTCTGACCTTTAAAATGGCCGTCTAGGTCATTTGGCGCCAACATGGCTCTGAACACTCCTCTCACGCCAGCTGCGGGTTGGGATGCTGCGAGAATCTCTTGAGAAACTACAATGCTGCCTCACTATGTGCCAAATAAAGTACTTTTTACCTTGAATTGTATTGTTTTCGATGCAGTGTCGACGGAGGTCTCATCTGCTATGCATACTTAACATTATGAATAGAAAAAGCCTCGGAAAAAGGTCAAATCGCGCTTGCCCAGCAAAACTTTGCACACAGTTTTTGACCTACCACAGAAACGCATAGCAAAAATGAAACACATTTTTGTGATCCTTATTCGGACCTCTACAACATGCAACAAATCATTTCCGAAAAGCGCGCCACGACCTGAAAGACCTCCCTTGTGAGGATTTTAGAGTAGAATGACTTCAATGTCCCCTTTTCGTCAAAACGCGCATGCCAGTCTTGTAGACTTTGAAATTGATCTTGCACTTCAAATTAGAAAAAAAAAACTAGCTGATGGGATGCTATAGTGTTCTCGACCGCCCCAGAGTACTTCTCCCCCTTAGGTTATAGGCTTGCAGAATCCAGGTGAGGGGTACGCCTGACCTAGAAACATACCTACTTCTTGCATTGCGTTAGAGGAAGAAGGAACTGGTCTAGCGTAGAAGTGTGACATATGTGTAGCTTGCTAAGCCAGCAATGAAACCGGAGGATAGTTAGAGCCAGTGCCATTTCTGCCAAAGCGCTCAGACACGTAACCTGCCGCACGGCCAGCCACACGCAGTAACCACAGTCGAACGCGCTATTTGCTTCGCGCTCTCTCTCACGCTCTTCTCTACTTCTGGTACGTATGTTCGCTGCGGGACTTTGTCACCGACGAACTGAAGCTCCTTGAGGGTAGGGCGATTGGAGCGCGAAGACGATCGACCTGTCACCCTCCTCCAGCTCCTCCAGCGTGCTCTGAGCAGTTTCGACATTTGGAAGCTGTTTTACTTGTTAGCTGCTAAAACAACCTCTCCGCCAACCCGGAACATTCTGGCAGTGGAACGTGAAGGTGTTTCCAAAAATCCACATTTGTTTGTTTGGGTGACGTTTCGCCCTCAGGGAAGAGGCGGGGGGGGGCTCAGTTTGCCTTCTAATCAAGCGTCGAATTTCGGAAGCTATATGAATACGAGTCGACGGGCTTTTCTGGCATGATCGAGGATCGATCGGGAAATTCTAAGGAAGGTCATTAGCGCCCAAACAGAGTGAGACCGGCAGTGAATCACTTTCACACAGGGGTGAAGTGACAGATAACGTAAAATTCTTTCTAGAAGGTCACTGATTGAAGTTATTCACACCTGAACAGCTTAGGAACTGGTTCCTTTCAATCCTTATTACGGCATGTACTTTTTTCATTTAGACATTAAATATCGAAACAAATGCAATTGTTAAGAAGGATGTTACGAGCAAGCGAAATTTTTTTCTAGAAGTTTTCAAACCACTTTTTTCAGTTACGGACAGAAGAACCACTCGTTCTCACAACACATGCAGACAAGAACACCAGTGAGTTATTTCCTCTGTGTGATAGCCACCGAGAAGTTATTTAGGAGCGAAAAGGTTCTGAGGTAAAGGGCCTGGTAGAACGGTTTTAAGAGCAGGGTGTAGCAGCGTTGGGAGCAGGGTACACCATCGTTGGGGGAACATTATTCAAAGGTCGTGATAGTCGCTGGAGGAGGAGGTGTTTATTTGGTCGGTGAGGATCTAATACAATAACTTCTTCTGACGAAATGGTTCTAGCGATAGATCAATAGAGAGAATTCCTCATCTTTTTTGTGGGAAAAAATTGTTGAAACAGTTGAGACTTGAGAGGAAATGTATGTGAAGCGGGAGACCTGGGGAGATGGTAGGTACAGTGAGGAAAAAGGATTTTATCCTAAAGACGAACTTCCGGACACGGTCCTATTGACGCCACCATTCCGGCCATTCCGTTACTTTACCCTGCTTCGGAGCTTTTTTGATCGCTGATTTGGTGTTCAACTCAGCCTTCTATATAATTTGAAAAACTTTGTACTTTGAAATAAAATGACAGTGCGACTCTCAATAATCACATTTTTTTTATTTATTTTATTGGTTTCCATTTCAGCTGTCGTGCCTATGCCTAATGTTCCATCGAGTCACGACAACTCGCAGCCATTGCCTGAAGAGGTTTGTGTTCGACTGAATTTCTTTCTGAAAAAGTCTGATTTTTTTCGAAGCAGCATTTCTGTTTGAAGTACAGTCAGTATAATGTCCCATGGCAGTCGAAAAGCGTAGAGGTAACTTTCTCCTCCATCTCCTCCACACTCTGGTCCCATTTGCGCCTTTCCATGAAAAAGCATCTCTATGTAGTTCTCATGCGCGCAGGCTTAATCGCGCGTACTTCTACTGCACTCAGATTTACGCTAAAGGCCATGACTCTTAGCCTCGGTGTTTCGTAACTAGGGCCGGACCAGATGGCTCATGGCTTTCACTTTCGTGCACTGCTTTTCCTCACTTATTATTTACAGTGCCCTGAGGGCAGGTGTGCCAGAACGCGCATTTGACCACAAAAATCTTATTCGATAACACAAGACTATACTGAGAGATGGACCTTCACAGCTAGAAAGCTACTGGACTGATATGTGCACAACTAGACAACTGAACTCAAAAAAGGGAAACCAGAAAAGGTCCTTCGAAGCCTGGAAGATATTGCACATCAGCGCTTTATCTCGTACTCCAGCTGGAAAATCATTTAGGCTTTCCCCTGGAAAAGCAGTACGGCTCCATGACCTGAAATGCTGCCCGCCACGCTCCCTTTTCGCAACCCGCAGTTCTTTTTTCATGCTGAAAAGTATAGGTAATAATGAAGCAATCATTAATCTATCCGCTTACAGGCAGTGGCTGCCGATCCGTTCAGTATGGATGACGAGGTAACGACGGAACAAGCTCCTGAATCACCTGTGGTAAGGGATCATGACGATTCTTCTCTAGAGTTTATGTCTCGGGCTGTTGTCTGGGACTATTCCGAACCATTCATTTGTTTTGAATACCCCTTTTTGGTGCAGTTCGGCAGGCGGGAGCACCTTGTGTAGGCTACCTTGTGAGCTCCTGTAACGAGCATCTCTTTTACCATTTGGCTGCTTCACGGGAATTTTCACTACAGTGAAACCTGTAAGGTAACGAACTAAGAAAAGGAAAAAGCGAAGGTACAAAATGCCTCCCCCCCATTCCCACTTTGTGTCTGACGGTGGGTTTTATTTTACTAAATTCGAAACAAAAGTTCTACGTTCATGACTCTCATCGAAATTGATTTCATATCGTGGAAATTACGTTCGTTCCGAAGCCATTGTTGCGTTTTCCAGGTCGTGCCTGTGGTACCCGTCATTCCACCCACTAACGACAGCATTATACCACTGCTGGAGACACAAAACGAATCTATTTCCACGACGGAGGCCGCAGAAGATTCTGATATGACGACGATGTCCAGCCCACACGTACCTGTTGTCCAAACTGCACTCGAAGGACGAGTGCTGAAGGAGAAGGAAGAGGTAAAACAGTTGGAGCGATGTGTAATTACTGTCACCTATACTGTTCTCGAATTTCGTCTTGGCGTTCATTGGCTACCTGGCCTCGTCGAGTTGAATTAAAGTTCAATTAAAAGCAGACTTCGCGATAAACCAGCGATCATTTAGTGAGAGCTGGGTTGGAAGCCACAGTGTACGTGCTACTTGACTTCTCCGTGAGGGAGAATAGGAGAAGAAACCGTCGAAAACACACAAAATAAGGCCCTACTTGTGTCCAGCTGAAGATAAAGACTCAATGTGGATATCGGGCGAGAGGCCAGAGAAAGCAGCGAGAGAGCATGTAAACGAGCAAGACAGCAGACAAGACATCTATCACCGTGACTGGAGTCACTTAAGCAACCTTGTGCTCCACCGCCGCTACCTTCTGCTACTTTCTGACGTGAAACTTGTACAGAATTGTTGATTGCAGTTTACTACTCCCACTAAGAGCAGCTTAGATAAATATAATGATTGTGGGTTCTGCCTCTGGTGAAAGAATAGGTGTCGACTTTTGAGCTATCCGACTTAACTCACCCTATGCTTTCGGCGCCATCATTTTCATCACATGAAGTTGGGCAATTGAAAATACCAAACCTTACCGTATCCGTTCGATCACCTACGACTGGCAGCTTGAATGCCAGGGGTCTTCCGCCCGGAAATCTGCACCTCGCGGCCGAGAATCTCTACTGCGGTCCCTGGAATTTTTTCTTCTCTTTCCTTGAGGGATGCTCTGTCTGCAAATTCAGAGCATTCTGGCTAGTCCATCGAATCAAGGCAGAATCAGAGTTTGGTTATGCCTAAAGTCTTACATCTCACCTCCCCCAATCCGCTGCCAAGTTTTGAGGAATGAGTGATATTCAGAAGGCGTCGTAGCCGCTCGACTGGTGGAGATGGAAATCCGGAAAAATGCAGGTTCTTCACTCGTATAGCGACCCAAACCTTAATTATCATGTTCTTCTCATCAGTGGTAGAGACGAATGGTGCAAGAGCATGGCGAGAATTAATGCGTCATTTGTGGCCAATCTTTAATTGTCTTCAAGTAATCCGTGCTAAAGTAATTAGAAACGCTTAATAAAGGCTAGTATGCGAAGAACGTCGACTGATGACGGAACATGGATATGTAATTAGTACCGGAATGCTAGACGCATAGTATCCTACATGGCTTGTCTATAGGGTTTCAGGGAACTACTGAGAAAAATGAAAGAGAATTTGCAAGAAAGCGAAATTGAAAATTATAATATTTTCTAAAAAAGAACAAACATAATCCTATTTTAATTTGAATTCCTCCATTCGTTTTTCAGGCTCATGCCACTACCAGAGATTCTGTCACCGATCTTCAAAGTGAGTCGACAGCTGAGACATCTGAAATGCCTTTCGTAACAGAAAAGATCGAAGACGATGAATCTAGCACGGAAGCCGCTTCAAGAGGTGAACCAGCGGAGACAACTTCTATCAGAAGTGAAGTGCCATTTGATTTCACGACCGCAGGTTAGTCTTCAACCTGATTTCCATGATTGCAGCTGATATTGTCGCAATCCGGAGAGGCGGGAAGAACGCATTGAGCCCAACCCGGCGTTTTTTGCCACAGGTTGATTCTGCCTGGAAGGGTCACTATTGGGGGAAATGCAGCCATGATGTGCCACTCCATGCCCCGCCGGATTGCGACGACATGTCATATGCGCAAAAACATGATTGTAAAGACAGGAAGAGTGGAATAAAATGCTAGAGAAGAGTAATGAAAAACGTCTGGGAGTAAAAAAGCCTGTTCCAGAAGATCATCTCTCGTCGTCCGAATTACCAGTAACAGCAGAATCCACTGATTTGACTCCAACAGTCTCCAAAGTCTTTACGGAAACGCCTGAACGTCCGACTACCACATCCAGTTCGGCTGCGGCTACTACAACTGCAGATGAAGATGGTAAGTTCGTTATCAGAAAAAGGGCATTCCTTTACAAAAAGAAATTCAATAAAATGTATACGAATCAATGTTTGATGTTCAGATGTTCCATTCGATCAAGACAAACTCTCTGGACTATTCGAACAAGACGGTTCATTCATTCCAGACCATCTGATCAACCAGGTGAGTCTTGATCGTTCCCAAGCCAACAGAAATATCTGTAGAAATAATTGCGCCAGCAGCCTTTCATTTGTAGTGGTAATGTTTCATCGAAGTGCTTTTTGGAAGCTTGTTCTTCTTTACTTCGCTTCAAAGTTCGCTTTTACTCCGCTCACAAACTCATGTCGGCCTCCACAAACGTGAGCAAAAATTTTGAGCTACTTCTGAGCTCTCTCACCACAGCACTGCATTTGATATCTGAGCAATCCCAACTAGGTCATCGCTACTTCTAAACTCTAAACTACGTAGGCAAAAGCAATTTGTTGTACTGGAAAATCCTTTCGTATTTTCCCTTATGACCTTAACTTTCAGCCGTCTTCCGAGCCTGTCTTCCCACGAGTGGAACTGCCAGAAGAAAGCGCAGAGATCATCAATGACAAGAGGAAACCCGTAAGTCCAGAGAATTACCTTCACAGCCTCTACAAATTTCAAAAACATTTGCTCTGGAAACGGAAAATGGAAAGTGGAGGAAGGAAACGAAAGAAAAAGAAAAGTCCAATATAGTAAAGTAGTGAAAGGTATTTCGATGTACGTGTTATCTTGAGGGTGGGGCTGATGTTTCGACCCCTACTTTTAAGCAGAGCGCATGCCGCCGTGGGGAAATTTTGCGCGCAATAGGACCCCTTCCCGTCAAATATTCCTTTTCTGGTAGAACACCCTCCCCACCTAACATCTTCCCAATTTCTCCCAACCTCCTACCATTTTTCCGTCAAACTGTCCTTGGGTAGAGGGGAGGGGATAAATAGGAGTGGCAGGTAGGGAAGGGAGGGGATAAATAGAACACGAGGAACAGGATAACCGAGAAAAGAAAACAACCGAAAATGTTGTTTCAAAGGCAAATACTACCCCTCCCCCCTCTCCGGATACCAAATAGGCCCCCTCAATGGGACCACACAGCATACGATTTGCCCTGGCGTTGGAATGGCGCGACGATGGCTTCGCTGCAAGCGGCTCATAAGCACGGTTGATCAAGAGAGCGCTTTTATTACGTTGACTCCTCGACCACTAAAGGATGTATTGCCTAGTTCGTCCCCAACGTCGCAACGACACCCTGATGCTCCAGGGCCTAAATCCAAACTCTCTTTGATGGACACATTTGGGAGGAACTTGAGAGCTATCAAAAGTCACAAGGCTCTCCAGCACTGCATCTTACTTGTTCTGTTTAGACCACTGCCGGAACATTCATGGTTGACTCCAAGCCCACTACAGTAACCGCTGAAATTGACGAAACAACACGTGAGTTGAATATTTCCACTGGAAATAATTGTTACAGAATGAATCGTGGGTCCAACAGAGTAAATTTTCCACTGTTTCAGCAACCACCATTCCCACGACTTTGACTTCCGAACGACCTCGGCCATCTATAGTCATTCAGCCGATTGTTTCAAAAACGACAATCAACGAATTCCACGTTTTGGGACATCGACCCGAGTTGAACAGTGAAGAAGCTCGCCGCATTACAGCTCTCGTTCATGAAAACACTAAGGCGGTACCCACACCGACAGAAACTGCCACTGAAACTGAACAAACTTCCGCTGTTACGGAACCCACACCTGAACCAGCGACTCCGCCTGCAGTGGAGTCCACACACGAACACATCCCCGTATCAGAATCCGCTGCAGAACCTGCACCGGAACCAACTGCCACCACAGGCCGAACAGCACCCGAAGCAGTGCCTGAGCCACAGCCTGAACCAACAGCAGAACCACAGCCGGAACCAACAGCACAACCACAACCAGAGCCACAGCCTGAACCCCAACCAGAGCCTCAACCTGAACCAGTGCCCCACGTGCCAGAGCCTACTCCTGAACCAAGGCCGCAACCTGAAGCTGAGCCAGCACCAGCGCCTGAGCCAGAGCCACATCCAGAACCAGAACCGGCACCAGAGCCCCATCCAGAACCGGCACCTAATGCTCGACCACCACAACCCGAGCCAGAACCAGAACCAACTGCGGAGAAGTACAAGAAGACCGCATTAACCATGCGAATCACTTCTATTGAATTTATGGATGAATTTGAAGACAAGACGAGTGGAAAGTATAAGAAACTCAGTGATCAGATTGTTCCACAGGTCAGTTCTATCCGAGGTTCCGCTTTCATCGTCTATTTTATCTTATCGGTTCAGATCAGTGTGGTCCTGAGCACACTCCTTGGAGATAACTTTGTTGGTTACGAGATCGCATCGCTAGCCAAGGGTTCAGTCGTCGTCAACGGAGTTATTTTAACACGAGAAGATATCCAGGATGCCGAAGACTTGGCCACTAAGTAAGCTATGCTTAGAAACTGCCTGGTAAACTCGCCGCAATTTCAGATCCCTCCGCTACTGGTGCAACTACTCCCAAACGATCTCGCTCATAACCCTAGGGTTCAAAATTTGCCCCAACTTTAGCTTGTTTGGCTTGGGCGGGAGCCAACCTGGGATTTGAACCCCTCGTGAATGGTAAGGCAGCGTTCATAGTTCGCGACAGCAGCGGCGATCGCCGCGATCGCGGGCGATCGTGGCGATCGCCGCGATCGCCAGTAGGAGGACCAGCTCGCCCCAACACAACTAGATGGACGTATTGAAAAACTTGTTGGAAAGGTATTTTCATGCGGTTTTTTCTTCTTCCGCCTAATCCTCTTCGACGTACCTCACCTCTCATTCCCCCCCTACCCTCCCCCCGACCTCGCCCCCGACTCCGCCCCTCACTCCGCTCCCTGAATCCGCCCCATTACTTCATCACTCCTTCATAACGCCTTTCACCTCCCCGATTTCAGGGAATTCCCCGCCGACTCAGTGGAGTGTGTCATTAGGTCCGCCTGGGGCACCACGTACTCAGTGTGTCATTAGCCTCCGCCGCCATGCCCTCTTCCCCTGCTACCAAGCCCCGCCTCCGACTCCGCCCACTTCTCCCAAAATTTTCACTTTTTCTCAAGGCTTCCCACGGGCTCCCACGTCGCTCCCCCCTAGTACCCAGGCAAAGTGTGTCATTAGGTCCGCTTGGAGCACTACGTCTCACTGTGTGCGCCGCTCGAACTACTTCCACTATTTCGGCAATTCCCCCGTCCAATCAGTGAGGTGTGTCATTAGGTCCGCTCTGGGGCACTACGTCCTCAGTGTGTCATTAGGTCCCCAGCCACGCCCATATCCATATCCCACCAAG